ACCCCATTCCGCTCTGCAAGCTATACTGACTATATTCCACCCCCTTCTCAAAATGTCAGTATATTGCGGATTGTGTTTCGACAAAATACAACCAAGTTCCTGCGGAGTATGATATTTCCTTGTAATTCTTCTTGATAAAAGGTTGCATCGATAAATCACATGATTATTAACCTTCGCTTGAATATCGATCGCAAAATACCGTAAAATAGTATCGAAGGATGTACTTAATATGTCTGATTTATTCAATCTGTCGGAAACATATGCATCTTGACTCTTTACAATTGGCTCTTAATTAAATCGCAGTTAAGAGGGTCGGCTGAGATATCAGCTAGCAGAGGCGTTGATACGTTTGACTGATATAAACAATTGTTGTCTAGCCTAAAAACCCAACACACAAAAAAACAAAAAATTACGTCTATCATTCTTTTGAAATCTTGCTTATGATCCTTGTCGTACTCGATTCTCGTTTCACCGAGTTTTTTTAATACTAGTGACACAGTATCCCACTTCTGACACCAACGATTACATTCGGTGCTCATTAATACAATACTTTACTGACATTGGGTTAATACAAAAACAACAACAAGCTCAGAAATAAAAACAAACTAGATCTCTAAGAAAAGAAAAGGAAGCGATTCTAAGACAAGGTTCCTGACTGTGGAATTAAATGCTTCCTGATTGATCTCAGCATGTGGCCAGGGGAAATTCTTTTATTAAGCCAATTATCTCTCTCCTTGATTACCCACCCTGCTAGTTTGCTATATTTTGATAGAGTATTTATCGTTAATGAGTTAATTTAGTTGGAATCAACTTGTTTTCTATGCTTATCTTCACGTACTTCAGTTTTATTTACCGTATGTCTGTTTTAATCTACATAAAGAAATATACGAGAGTAAAAGAAAATGGTAGATAACCTGAAATGGGTGAACATCTCGTATACATGTCACGTGTCCAATAATCATGTTCTAAGTTTAAAGTTTTGTCAACAAAAGAACGCGGTCACTTTGGGACTAATGATTTGATGGTATCGTGTGCACAGAAATGAAATGAAATGGGGTTTAACGTCCTACTGTTTCTGCTCCGACTGGGCTAACGAAGACGGGAATACAGTGTGTTATAAGGGACATATTGCCCGGACAGCGGCGCTACAGCCTGTACATGGAGTCACAGTATTTCGTCCCATCCGAACGACTATACGGTATCCCTTGCCAGACTCTCTGTCCTGCAAGAGGGAACCAAGCCGTTTTCGAACCCTGATTTTCCGGCGTGGTTCCCGCTTGTCAGTGGTGCAACGTATAGTCCGCAAAAAATTTCCCTCAAAACTGTATGGCGTGTGCACGTCTCCATTAGCCCAGTCGGAGCAGACCACTAGGACATTAAACCCCATTCCATGCCATTTCATTTCATTAGCCCAGTTAGTACAGAACAGTAAGACGTCAAACCTCCATTTCCCCTGGTCATTGCAGACAGTAAGACATCTAACCCCCATCTCGCCCGGTTATTGCAGAACAGTCAGACGTCAAACCCCCATTTCGCTCGGTTATTGCAGAAGAGTAGGATGTTAAACCCCCATTTCTACCAGTTATTGCAGAAGAGTAGGACGTTAAACCCCCATTTCGCTCGGTTATTGTAGAACAGTAGGACGTTAAACCACCATTTCGCCTGATTTTGCAGAAGAGTAGGACGTTAAACTCCCATTTCGCCCGGTTATTGCAGAAGAGTAGGACGTTAAACCCCCATTTCTACCAGTTATTGCAGAAGAGTAGGACGTTAAACCCCCATTTCGCTCGGTTATTGTAGAACAGTAGGACGTTAAACCACCATTTCGCCTGATTTTGCAGAAGAGTAGGACGCTAAACCCCCATTTCGCTCGGTTATTGCAGAAGAGTAGGATGTTAAACCCCCATTTCGCTCGGTTATTGCAGAAGAGTAGGACGTTAAACCCCCATTTCTACCAGTTATTGCAGAAGAGTAGGACGTTAAACCCCCATTTCGCTCGGTTATTGCAGAAGAGTAGGATGTTAAACCCCCATTTCGCTCGGTTATTGCAGAAGAGTAGGACGTCAAACCTCCATTTCTACCAGTTATTGCAGAAGAGTAGGACGTTAAACCCCCATTTCGCTCGGTTATTGTAGAACAGTAGGACGTTAAACCACCATTTCGCCTGATTTTGCAGAAGAGTAGGACGTTAAACTCCCATTTCGCCCGGTTATTGCAGAACGCTAAACCCCCATATCTTTTCACTATAAGTAACTACAGATACTAGGTTAGTGCAGACGATTTAGTAAGATTTGTAAAGTGATTAGTTTAACAGTGAACACCTGTAGTTTGATGGAGTTTTAAAGACAGGTAAACAAACACACCTTATATTACCTGTCAGATTCTCAAGACAAGCGAACAAACATACCTTTTATTATCCACCAGATTCCCCAGAATATCAGATCTATGGCGGAACTAAAATTTAAGATGAGTTTGGACGAAAAGATAGGGATGAAAAGGTACGTGATTTATGTCTGACTCTAGGTACTGTAATTGTCTATTAATAGGGAAATATTAAACCGAGTTTAAATTATTATCTAAAATACAAAACAGTACGTATCGTTGGTCCTACGTTACATTACTATCCTAAAGAGTGGGGCGTATCAAAAGTTCAAGGTTTAAACGAACTAAACTTTGTTGAGACACATTGGAGTATGGTGTAGTCATTATAAGAACTGGGTTGACTATGTTAACTATTAAATGGACCCCAATTTCACGTCGCTAACTATTAACTATTTTTACCGCATATTTTGAACTATCATCTTCACAATATATGAAAGTAGGAAGATTCAATATCTACAGTCTTAAACCCCAACGAGCGATCTATAGACGCCTTACTGACAGCTTTTGAGCCAACAACAGCGTTTGAAGTGTCGAAAATTATTTCAAAATCTGCAAATAAGTCATGTGATTTGGGCCCGATACCTACATGGTTATTAAAACTCATCTGCCGTCTGCCCTGTTGTTACACAGATTGTGAATAGCTCACTAGAGGATGGGGACGTTTCCGCATTCCTTAAAAATGCTCTTGTCAGACCCTTACCAAAAAGGCAACTCTTGACCCAGAGAACTTAACAAACTACCGCCCTCTCTCCAACTTATCATTTCTATCGAAAGTCATAGAGAAGGTGGTCGCTGCAAGGTTCAAGTCTCACATTAAAATCAACAAACTTGATGAACCATTTTAAACGGCTTACAAGAAATGCCACAGCAGGAAACTGCACTCGTACGAGTACACAATGACATTGTCAAGGGAATTGACAACAATGGCTGTGTGTTTCTTGTACTACTAGATCTCAGTACAGCCTTCGACACAATTGACATTTCGATACGCTTGCACCATTTTAAACATCGTTTTGGCATTGGTGGATCTGCTCTGTCTTGGTTTTCGTCTTATTTGGAATGTCGCAAACAGATGGTAGTTATTGGTGATTGCAAATCTGACCCACAGACACTCAAATACGGTGTCCCACAAGGGCCAGTCCTTGGACCTTTACTTTAAACGGCATACACTTCACCCCTAGGTGACATCATTCGACAGCATGGACTAAGTTATCATTTATACGCTGATGACACTCAGCTTTACATTGTACTGAACGGTTCCAATGAACAAAACATAATTAAACTTGAAAAATGTATCGTAGAAATAAGACTGTGGATGAAACAAAATGTGTTAAAGTTGAATGATAATAAAACCGAATTCATTAGTCTTTCAAAACGTAAAAGTGTTCTGAATATAAAGTGTGATTCGGTGAAATTGGAGACCGACACCCAGTGTTCGCAACCTTGGAGTCATGTTCGACACATTATTAAATATGCAATCTCATATTTTGTGAGTATGTAAAGCCTGTGATTTCAACCTATATAAGATCGGTAGAATTCGACCATATCTGAACGTTGAAACTTGTAAAATGCTAGTAAATTCTCTTATAACCTCACGTTTAAATTATTGTAACTGTCTATTGTTTGGTCTTCCTGTTACAACACTATATGCCTTAAAACGTATAAAAAATAAAGCATCAAGAACTGTGTCATTAACCCCATCACGCTACCCTATTGCCCAGTCTATCTACATAATATTTTATCAAAGTACGAATCCTCACGTCAACTACGTTCAGTAAATCAACATCTACTTAACATTCCAAAATCCAAATCTCTTTTTAGTGAACGTTCTTTCTCAGTGGCAGTTCCTAAACGTTGGAATGATAATATGTCCATCACCACAAAAACTAGCCAAACTTTTAGTATTTTTAAAAAGAATCTAAGACACAGAGTTATTGATTAAAGCTTTTAATTGATTATAAGTTTACTTAGCTCTTAACATGTTTTAGACTTCTGAAAAAATATTTCTGATATACTTTTACATGTTTTTATTATTTTTATGGTTTCTTTTTACTGATATACTTTTACTTGTCTTTTATATGTTGTGGTTTCTTTATAAGTTTACTGATATACTTTTACTTATCTTTTATATGTTATGGTATCTTATAAGTTTACTGATATACTTTTACATGTCTATTATATGTTATGGTTTTCTTTGCTATACTTTTTTACTTTCTAATGAATCTATTCGCTTTTTCGAATTGTATCATTGTAAAAGCGTCACAGAGTAGCTGTTTCCAGCTTGATTTTGGCGCTATAGAAGTTTAATAAATTAGTATTATTATATTATAAAAAGATAAGCGGACCAAAATGCCACTGTCCGGGAAAGGGGTATTGGTTGGGGTTTCGGTACCAAGCTTGTACGTGACAAGCAAAAGGATCGCTTGCTGAACCTCGTGGATTTACTTCTTGTCCTATACGGGTTCCCCCCTTCCCCCATTGCTAAAGATCCCTAGATAAAACTTTACCATATTATTTTATGTCGGACAAGGGCTATCACTATGTTAGTCTTATAAAGACCTAAGTATAACATTCTAAATTCCCATATATGTTTTGAAGTAATGATTACATTTACTTACAGGTAGTTGCTTACATTGGTTACAAATATTCTGTTACCATCACAGAGTGTCTCATATTATATTCCATGTTTTCCTTAGACACCTTTAAAAGCGGGGGTAAAACCCAACATATAATTCCAAGACATGTCCATCACTGAAATCAGCTGAACAGATAATAAACAATATGGATGACACTTGGATCCAGATTTTTTGATCATTCACCTTTTCCCCCGAATGCGTTCACACATACAAGCAACGAGGGAATGAAGTTCCAATTGGTATTTATATAAAAAAGAAGAAATTTTAAGCTTATCTTCAACATCTTCCATATGGCAAATGGATTGCCTGAAATATGCTGTTCATATTATCTGCTACCCCGCAGAGCCTAATGCATGTATAATAATCCTAGGTTGCTTTTTTCCACTTTTATATATAGTTACAAATTCAAGAAAGATTGACGAACCCACGTATTAAGGAATATGGATAATGTAATAATACTCTATATGCCATGTTTATGTATAATGAATAATCTATTTTTAAAAAAAAAAAAATAACATTAACCTGAATCAGGAATATCAGCTTTTCGTCAATAGAGCAACCCAGTTTTTGTATAGGGATATAGAGAACGACTGAAGAAGCGGCGCAACAATAAGGACCAATACACAGTTCGTCCAGCAATTCGAATGGGACGCAAACTACTTGATGCACGTATTACGCAAAATGTAATAAAACAGGAGTGTCAGAGAAATGGGGTTTAACGTTCACGTGACAAAAAGTACAAATCATTTCGGGACGAACATACGGTTCAAATTTATTTCAATAATTCGCTTGCACGTTGGGTCATTAGTAGTGGAAGGAATCCGGAAGATCCGGGGTTGGACATGAAGCAATCCTACTACTCGCCACGTGCAAGCATGGGATCGAAACCAGACCACTCGACTCAATGACAGATCTAATGAACTAAAGCACACGCGTTAAACCACTCGGCCATCAAACTACCCTTAATACTATATATAAAGTTTGTGTGAGTAAACCATTAGATTTTCTCATTATAAGCATAGCAAACCACATTCTTGTGCCCGGATGGGGTAGGGTGGGATTAAAACAACATAAACATACATAAGTCGAAAACCGGATCCATGCTCTAGATTTCCGATTATGTATATGGGAAAGGAAATGAAATGGGGTTAGACGTGCTCTGATAAAAGATATGCCCTGGCAGCGGCGCTTCGACCTACTTTTATTTATTTCAATGGGTCTTTTAAATGCACGCCAATGTGTACACGGAACTTCAGTTTTTTGCCCTTCACAAACTATTACACTAGGATCTCATGGATAGAGAGTCAATGTCATATCCACTTAGACACTGTACCTTCCCACACTAATGAATATTGGCCAGGTCTCTAATATGTCATTAAGAGGGGTGATATCGGTGCTGGTTAATTACCTCGCAATAATAACTTTTTTCCTTCTCCAAATTTAATCCTAGAACATTTTTTGGAAATATTAGAAAAATAAATAAAGGTGGTTGAAGTATATTTGGATAAAGAAAATATTTCCTATTTAGCGTAATTGGGCGTGTAAAATGAGTAAAAGGCACCATTCTGCCCGGACCAGTTCACGTTATCTAAACATTACACGCGCTATCGAGTCAATGTTCGAAGCCATGTGACGTCACATGTATGGACTTTAATAAAGGTTGGGGTGATCTAGTGATCTAGAGTGTCGCGGTTTGAGCTGGCGGTCGTGGTTTCGATTTTGGTGTGAGCGTATGTGACTTGGAGATAGTGGCGCCTTCTCAAACCTCCTGGCTGACCGCGTGCGCTAAGATAATAAAAATGAAAATATGACAACTTGCCTGTGATATCACCCTCGGTGGAATCAGACATTAAACACTAAGAACAACACGGAGTTATAAGAAGAAGGCTTTCAAAATATTTATGTCAAACAGATTGGTACCTCCCGTGTGAGGACAGCGCACATATGTGGGAATATACCGGAGTGCAGATTTTCAAAGATAGCAAATAAGAAGTTTTATTTTTTGATCTTCCCTGTAATCTGTAGATCTATCATCGATTAATAAGTTTAGAGATTGGTCCAATAACCAGTTTATAACGAACAAATACCTTTTAGTATGATGAATACAATGAATTTTCATGTTCGTCGTTTTATTATTCTAGGTCTTTAATACAAGTTAATGCTATTGCTCGACATTTCTTACTTAATGGCCCTGATTTCGTGAACCGGTGAAATAAAAAATACATTTATACAGGAACACTTTCCACAAATTTATTATGCTGAAATCTATATTCCCTTGTTGGGTAATTACCAGGAATTTCTTTTTTTAAACGTTGATTAATTCATTTTCATGAATAATTAATAAGCAAATATAAATAGATATTGTCCAGTCGTAAGAACCGTGTTAATTATATTCATGGATACATCTTTCACCGATCAAAATGAAATAAGGTTCAACGTCCGACTTTTCTGCACTGAAAGGGCTAATGAAGACGGATATATGACTTGCAGTGTGCTACGTGGGTCAATTTTGCTCGGACAGCGGCGTTTCCGGGGAGCCGGTATGGCTTAGCTATTAAGGTGCTGACTCACTAAGCAAAACGCCCCAGTTTTGACGAAGAAAGTTTTCCCATGTCAGTGGTGTATTGCTGAGGGCCTGGTGGGAAATATCTTCTAGTCGTTCGGTTGGGACCAAAAACCGAGGTCCAGTGTACACGTTTCAGTGCAAGTAAAAGAACCCATGCCAGTTAGAATTTAGCTAAGAGTAGGCGGCAGCGCTGCTGTTCAGGCAAAATATCCTTCAAAGTACATATCATAATATGTCCCTTTTCATTAGACCAGTTGATGCAGAAAAGTAGGACGTTAAATCCCATTTCATTTCATTGGGCCATTGATCCAGGTTCATATAGCTAACAGCTTTTTACAATTTGACATTTCCGATTGCCTGTGTTATATATTTGGTTGAGTTTTTCTGATCTGTGTTCATGCACTGTTTGTTCCATGTACTGTTATACAGTATGCACATGCTGTGTTTGGTCTATATTTTGTTAAGCAGTCAAACTACATTATCTGCGAAATTCCCAAATCGATTAGATGCGGTACAAGGAGTTCTAGAAAGAGCAAAACGGTCCCATCACGGCTGTGCGCTAAACCAAGCAATGGTTTTTATGGATAATTGTGGTGGTTGAAGTATTATTATTCCGGTTTGTAAACAATGATAAATATTGAGATGTTTAGATATTTATCATAATTAATAACCATCTTTTTACATGCATTATCGTAATAAACAAATTACAAAACATGCTCCTTAAACATCTTATTGTTAAATTCAAATTATATAAAATGAACAGCTTATTTTAATACTCAAACCATAAAATTGTCTCTTTAAACGTCTTATTGCAATGTACCTTTAAATGTGTTATTGCAAATATCAAATCATGGGCATTGTACCTTTAAAAACCGTATCGCAATGATCAAATCATGGACAGTGTCTCTTTGCGTGTCATGAAAAATAAACATTTAAGCGTTGCGTTTTAATATTCAAATCACAAAGTATATTATTTTGTTTAAAAGTCAAATCATAAAAGACAACCTCTTTAAAAACATAATTGTCGTAATCATATTATGGAAACTTTTAAACCTATGTGGAATGGTCAACTAAATAGTTCCCATCAAACTTCATAAGTTCTTGAGACAGGACAAATTTCTGGTCACATAACACAATAATATTTAGTGTGTTCACGAATACACTTAAAGAGTAAAAGCGACCATCTTAAATTTCCTGTTGGCTGTACAAGAAGGAAATGGGGTTTTAATTAAAAATTAATTAACCAATATTCCATATTAGGTTAGTGGTGTTATGAATACATGCGCCATCGTGAAAATCAATCATTTTCCAAATGTACGTCCACGTACTCTGTTCATCTTTTATATGACTAGATTGATTTATAAACTGCTCGTCTGATTTTGCGCAGCCGTATTAAAGACACATTTAGAGCTTTAGTTTCGTATGACTAATGTATGACCACTAAGTGGCTAACTTGAGATAAAAAAAAAAAAAAATTGATGATGATCAATGGACAAGTACCAAAAACGGACATACGTGGTCAACTTACCAGCGTTCAGTAAAGTTCGATAGTAAACGGATGGACATACTTCTACGTAAGTATTACATGGGCTTATGCAGGACCCAAGTAAGACTCTCAATCGAAGTATTTAAGATAGTGTAATGAAAATTAGACAGTATTTTCGTTTTAGAGATATTTATGATAGGGGCCGTGGTGGCTCAGTGAGTAAGAGAGAGAGAGAGAGAGAGAGAGAGAGAGAGATAGCGAGAGAGAGGGGGTGGGGGTAGCGTTTACTCGGCACAAACTAGGTCATTTTGAGACTAAAATAAGGTTCAATTTTATTTCAATAATTCACCGGTGCGCATAGGGGCCTTTAACAGTGGGAGGAAACCGGAGGTTGGACATGTGAGCCTACTCGCGTACAACCAGGGAATCGAAACCACGTCAGTTGACTCAACGGCAAACCTTATGATACAACGCGCACGCGCTAACCATTCGGCGATCCACTCCCGGCCCGGGTCCTTCTTGTCAGTGGAGCAGGACGGAGGGACTGGCAGGGGACAAAAAAACCGAAGTCCCGTACACACATTGGCGTGCACGTAAAATAGCCCTTTGCAGTTGGAATTTGATATAACAGTAGGTCGTAGTGCCGCTGTCCAGTTGAAGCTAAACATTTCATTTCTTATTTCGGATGTTTCGAAATTTTCAAATTGTAAATTTTGAAATCATCTTGGACTGATATTCTTTTCAGAGGTCAACTTTAGCAATATTTTAGTTTGTAATTTACATTGTTTGATAAAGGCCAGAGAATCCCAACTAATAAACAGTAATTGGGTTTCACAGAATTGTTGTCCTGAGTAACTCACAAAAAATAGATTTTATACTGATCTGCCAACATCCCTTTATTGGGATTATAATGGTGTTTAATAGTTGTCTAATAGATTATTCCTTCCTCAATATTTATATCTCGTGTAAACATCATCGAAATTAAAAAAAATAAGAAGTCTTGCCTGGCTTCTCAATATCATATATCGATTGAAATGGCATCTTTTCGCAATAACTTATTACAAAGAAGTCATATGCATGCAGTTGTTCAACAAACAGCCATTATTATTCGATGCCCTATAATCACATTTGCATTGCACTTGA